ATCCACTCTAGTGCCTGCTTGGTGTGGCCAGATTCCTCTATGATCAAGTCTCCCAAGCCATTGATGAACCCATAAACTTGTTGGGAGACTTTCTATGACAAAACCTTAATCGAGGCCTCCAACTCAAAGTTGAATTCTCCATTTTCTTGCCCACTTAGTGGAAGCAAATCTTCAACAACCTGGTGCATTAGAGGCATTTTTTTAAATCCAATTTTGGTTTTTTCACTGGTTATTGCCATGTAGCTTCTTTGGGACCCACTAGGCATGCCAAAAATTATGTTTGGAGATTTTCGGATTGTTGGCGTGTCAAAGTCCAGGTGGACTTAAGATCCAAACACATATGACCATACCTATTCAAATTGGGGTGAGGTTCCATTATTGTGACTGTTCATGTGATTGTAGACAGGCATAAAGTTATCTCTGAGCTCTTTTATATGCCTTAGGGATCAAGGATTTAAATAATTTCTTAACTGGCAATGTAATGGACCAGAATGTGGAAAGATAACGAGAATGTAAATTAACAGATAAATTGATGAAAGAAGAACTGTACCTAACATTAAATGAAAGACGTTAAAAATCACCGAAGTGATGAACTATAGATTGAAGTAAAATGAAGTTGTTGAGGAGTAAAAATAAGTAGGAGAGAGGTTGGTTGTGTGTAGAGTTCTTGTGTTTGATCGAAGATCTTTTTTCTCATAGCCTTGTCTTCGTTTTTTTATACAAATAACCTTCAACCGTCGAACCCATCTTTTCTGACCATGACTATGATCATGGCCTCTGTCCTCATGATGTGCAAACATATACCAAACCATTTTCAACTGGCGGCTCATGATGTCTCCGCTTCTCAAGATTATTAGAGTCCTACTTCCTTAACCACCTTATTAAGTATGGACTCTCACAAATTCTTTTATGACCTTCGGATTGCTTTTACGTGTAACCCTAAAATTTTTCTATTTTTTTGGTGTAAATAGTACATAAACATCGTAGCGTGTATCAATCATATCATGACCATTATTTTTTTATTATTTTCAATCGGACGGTTGATCCACATATGCTTACGGTCGAATGGTGGATCACATGTCTGATCATCTAATTATGGTTCAAGATCAACTTACATACCATGATGGCTAGTTTTGGACTTTAGATTGCTAAGAGGTGTCATTGGATAGTTATATTTAAAATCGAAAGTGTGTTAAAATGTGACTATTGGTGGCAGTTGTAATTAAATATTTGTTAATTACCGGACCTGTCTTACTCTTGCACAACCACCATACCTATTTAGTGACTATTTGAACAGACACCAACATACTTCAATTGCCAACAATTTCACTCTCCTTAAGGCTTGAACTCTTTCTATTTATTATTATTTGCGTTTCTTATTGCTGGAATTTGTTTTGCTGCATCGATAGAGTTTTAGTGTCCTGGCAAACTAGAAAAATTTGAACGTATTTGGGTTTGACCTCATTTGTGCAATTACCCAATCTAATGTCAGATTTAATTGTGGATTTAATTGTATTTTGGAGTTAAATTCGTTAGAACTTGGTACACAACAATTTTTCGGAATTGGTGGAGGCAAATATTATCTCAAGGAACACAACTCAATAACACATCTTAAAGCATATTACAATCATTTTTTCATCGCAAAAGTTCTGCACCAATACTTGTGAGGATATTTTTTGTTGAGACATAAACTGGTTCAAGGTTGCACAAGTTTTGTGATTGCCTATGAAACAAAAAAATGGAGGATACCGAATCTAAGGGTACTAGTGCCAATCTTAGATTTTTGAATGTGGAAAGTGACCTTTCGTATCTCTGGAGATCCACTATGCAGTATGGGATTACGGGTTTCTAATAGTAAAACTAGCTCTTGGATAGGCGAATACAACATCCATTAACTCTACAATGACCAAGTTTTGCTTTGGCACACTCATAGCAAATTGTTATATTTTATTGACGCTCATATCGTGGTCTAGGATCTTCCTAGACCACAATTGCTAATAATCAAGGACAGAGTCAGAAATTTGTTGTTCGGACAAATATTAATAACAATAATTTATATACTTAATTTTGGGATCTAATAAATTTATATCGTTGGATGAACAAATAAATTGCATTCAATGATGAGATCTGATGGGTCAAGCCCAAGGCCCCAACCCACGTTGTAAGCCCAGTTTAAATTAAGAGCCTAACTTAATAGAGCTCTAGTAAGTCCAGCCTAAAGGGGTCCACACCCTGTCAAGCTTGTCAGGGTTCGAGGAACTACATCATAAAGGGAGTGTGCAGGGTCGTCCAAGAGCCTCATCTACACCGCCTTGGAAAGAGCCAACCACCATGCCATCTTTGACCAGATCTAATGTAGAGCACCATAATTGCTTATCTGTTGAGAAGAAGCTGCCAGCTCTACTAGATTAGCCACTTAGTTACTAATAAATCGCTTCAATTTGTTAAGAGGGTGACTATAAATTATAAGCCCCGCCAACACTTGGGGGCCAGATGAAATTTAGTCAGCCACAACTCTCTCCTATCTCTCTCAACTTGTAACTTTCTACTCTCTTTACTCACTTGAAGTAATAAAGTACCCGGCGACCCTAGCCATTCAGAGTGGACGTAGGTCACATTGACCGAGCCACTATAAATCTAGTCTTGCTTTAGTCTCTATCTCTTACCTCTTAATTACTGCACTTATTATTACTCATTTGACAGGAGGTGTAAAAACCCAATTTGTGCATCATCAGTTTGGCGCCATCTGTGGGAATTGAAAAATTCTCACATAATCACTTTTCTTGTTGTACCTATGATGATCACCACCAGATCCATGAATCTGCCTGAAGACAATCCACCACGAGAGGTGGAGGTTTCTCCTCCACCAACCAATCATGTTTCAAATGCACAACAGATGCTGGAGACAATGCAATGGCTCGTAGCTCAAAATCAGCAGATCCTACAATTGATGCTCGCTGGACAACAAGGAGGAGCACAGCCCGGAGGACCTCAAGCTAGAGGAGCTCCATGCCCTGGGCGCCAAGGAGCTCCCTACCCCACACAGGGGAGCCCACCATGAGGGACCTCCAGCTCCCTCTTCTCATGGTGGAGACCCACATTTCCATAAGGATGAAGACAATAATCAAAGTGTGGAGCACAAGAGTTATTTCCATGACAATTCCAAAGGAGCCCCTAATCACTGGGACGAAAAAATCAATGAGGTGTAGAATCAACTCAGCGACGTCTTCAACACCATGAAAGCAGAAGGACCCAACACTGTGGACAACCTCATTAGGCGAAAAATCATGCCTTTCGTAGTCGATGTGGCAAACTACTAACTTGCCTAGAAATTCAGAATGCCATTTGTAGAAACTTTCAATGGTACAAAGGACCCACTTGATCATCTTGAAACCTACAAGACCTTATTGTAGTTGCACAATGTCCCCGACGAAAATTATGTATAGGGCATTCCCAAATAACTTGAAGGGATCGGTGCAACAATGGTTCACCAAACTCACCCTGGCCTCCATAAGTTCCTTTGCCGAACTGAGCAGATCCTTTGTGGTACAGTTCATTGGTGGACGCTGCCAGTAGAAGCCTACCACCCATCTGCTTAGCATAAAATAGGATCGAGATGAGAGTTTGAGGAGTTACTTCACTAGTTTTAACGAGGAGGTCCTCCAAATTGAAGAGCCTAATGACAAAGTCACTATGACCACCTTTTTGGGATGCCTCCGCTCATCAAGTTTCATTTTTTCAGTAATGAAGTGACCACCAAAGAGCATGCCAGAACTATTAACAAAAGCTTAAAAATATATGAATGCTAAGAAAATCAACAAGTCGAGGCGAGGTGAATCATCTCGCGGATCGCCAAAAGCTTGACCTATCTCCAGATTAGCGGCTCTCTCGTGGGTCACCAAAAAAATCTTGGTCTATCTCTACTCTGCTCTCAAGTAGACAACCTATCTCCAACTTAAAGGCTTTCTCACAAGTCACCTAAAAAAGCTTGGCGTATCTCTGCTCTGTTCTCAAGTGGACACCCTATCTCCAATTTAGCAGCTTTCTCGCGGGTTGCCAAAAAGAACTTGGTCTATCTCTACTCTACTCTCAAGTAAACAGCTTATCTCTAGCTTAGCAGCTCTCTCGCGAGTTGCCAAAAAAAAAGCTTGGCCTATCTCTGCTCTACTCTCAAGCAAAATCAACCTATTTTCAGCTTAGCGGATCTCTTGCTAGTCGCTAAAAGCTTTGCCTATCTCTACTCTGCTCTCAAGCAGGCAACCTATCTCTAGCTTGTCAGCTCTCTTGTAGGTTGCCAAAAGCATGGCCTATCTCTGCTCTATTTTCAAGCAGACAACCTATCTCCAACTTAGTGATTCTCTCACGGGTTACCAAAAGCTTGGCCTACCTCTGCTCTAATCTCAAGTAGACAGCCTAAATCCCCAGCTTAGTGGCTATCTCATAGGTCGTCAAAAGCTTGGTCTCAAAAGGTGCAGCTCTCTTAGGAGCAATCCTCAATCTGTCTTTGCTCTCATACAAACAACTTGCCTCTCTCTCTCTAGGTAATTATGTTAGATATTTTAATGTTGGAATAACATTATTTTTGCCATCTCTAGGCATGTTTTTAAAACTTAGGGCATCTACAACCCGTAGGGCTACATTAGATTGGATGTCAACAATCGAATCTCATCCATCTGGCACCGTCGCCTTATTACCGCAACACTTCCACACTTAACACCTACCGTAAACAAGGCTTGCCTGCACACCCAACACTAAGTATCTAGCACCTGCTCCTGGGTACTAGCTCCCCTCCTGCTCGCCCAACCAGCGCAGTAGCCTCTCCTACGCGTCCAACTAGCGTAACAACATCTCTTAGGCACTCAGCCCAGCCTGGCGCCCATCATCTCTCAGGCGCCCAGCCAGGCACCCAACACGTCTCAGGCACCCAGCTTTTCAAGCGCCAGCCCCAAGGTGCCCAGCTCCCCAGCACCTCCCTCTCCTCTCCAAGTTCCAAATATAAAATGGGGAAGGTCTTGAGAATTCCTTCAAAGGTGGAATATAACAGGAAGGAAGGAAGTCGCCAATCAAAAGGAGTCTCCAAGAAATTCAAGTTCAAGAAGGGTTGATCGCTATTTTGACCATAACTTTTGCTCTATTACTCCAAATAGGGCATATTATGTATCAAATCGAAGCTATTGACTAGGCATACAAGATTTAAAGCCTTTGGCTATGATAGACACTATTAAAAGCCCATAAAAGGCCTAGAAACATATGTTTTGGCCTCCCAAAATTTTTCCAATTTTTTTTTCATGCTCGCCCATAGAAGCATGCCCATGATGCTCGCCCATTGGAGCTCGCCCATGATGCTCGCCCATTGGAGCTCTCCCATGCTCACCCATGGGAGCTTGCTGATCAAGCTCGCCTATGCTCGCCCATAGGAGCTCACCCAACGGCAAGGACCTCAGCCCCTTGGAGTAATGCCTCCCCCATAACTGTAACTTTTGATTCGTTTCTCCAAACAGGGCCTATAATATATCAAATCAAAGCTCTCGATGAGCCTTACAAGACTCACCATCTTTGGTTGTGATAGACACTGTTAAAAGCCTAGAAAAGGCTTAGAAATAGATGCTTGGGCATTCTAATGTCTTTCCAGTTATGCGTTCAATCAAAATTCAAACTCAACCGAATGCCCTTTTATCCAAGTACCATTGGACACAAGGCATTGGGGGGGCAAATGATGGGTCAAGGCCAAGGGCCCAACCTATGTTGTAAGCCCAGTTTAAATTAAGAGCCCAACTTAAGAAAGCTCCAGTAAGTCCAGCCTAAAGGGGTCCACGCCCAGTCAAGCTTGTCAGGATTCGAGGATCTACATCATCAAAGAAATGTGCAGGGTCATCCAAGAGCCTCATCCACGTCGGCTTGGAAAGAGTCAACCACTGCGTTATCTTTGACCGGATCTAATGGAGAGCACCATAACTGCCCCTCTGTTGAGAAGAAGGCCCCAGCTCCACCAGATTAGCCACTTAGTTACTGAAAAATTGCCTCAATCTGTTAGAAGCACGACTATAAATTATAAGCTTCGTTAACACTTTGGGGGCAGATGACATTCAGTCGATCACAACTCTCAGCTTGTAATTCTCTGCTCTCCCTACACACTCGAAGTAAAAAAGTATCCAGTAACCCTACCCATTCAAAGTGGATGTAGGTCACGTTGACTGAACCACTATAAATCTTGTCTTGCTTTTGTCTCTATCTCTTACCTCTTAATTACTGCACTTATTATTACTCATCTGATAGGTGGTGTACAAATCCAATTTGTGCATCATCAAGACCTATTAGATACTTAAATTAGGTTTTTGAATTAGATTTCAATATCATTGCTCTTTTAACTATAGTTAGACCAAAAATATTAGTAGTGAGATTAAAAAGTATGAATTAACAATAAATAAAAAAAGATGACTCAATACACGAGCAATGTAAAAGAATGTCTACAGAAGGTTAGATGTAAGTAGTTAGATGTAAGGTTAGATGACTCAATACCCTAATAGTTTAACGAGCAAAGCGAGATCAAGGCTATAGTTTAGGTATAATTAGTCTTTTTAAAGATGATTAATGTTCTTATGTATACTCTCCGAAAATGTTTTTATTTATAATGTACATTATCTAGGTTATAATAACCCAATTAGAAATGAGAAAACAACTTGACTCCCCAATATATATTACAAAACTTCAAATTGAATAGGAGAAAATAAATGCAAAAAATATCAATTTTTAAAGCAAATATGTAGTGATCTTTTTTTATGTATATATTGAATATGATCCTTAGTACTACCTGAATGGGAAGACTCTAACCAATCTATACGTCTCCTCACCCTTCTTGTGCAGCCGTCCATATCGCTCACTCAAGTCATGCAAGTGCTATCGGCCACCCGTTTGGGTGTCTTCTTAATCACGCATGACATACAACTTTATAAATTCATCCATTTTTGCGCTTTGTAAGTGATAGGTTGAGAGATTTGAGGGAAATGGACAACGACACTGGCCTCCCCACTCTATACGGCATATAATTGACCATAAACTTTGAAGTCTTTGTAACATCCAAACCTCCCAAAATAAAATGATGGAATTTTTGTGAGGGAAATGGACAACGACACCAGCCTCACCACTCTATACGGCATATACCTGACCATAAACTTTGAAGTCTTTGTAACATCCAAATCACCCAAAAAAAATGATGGAATTTTTTGAGGTAAATGGACAACGACACCGGCCTCCCCCCTCTATACGACATATACTTGACCTTAAACTTTGAAGCCTTTGTAACATCCAAATCACCCAAAATAAAATGATGGAATTTTTTTTATTTCTTTTAGTGGAATTCAAAAATTCACCAAAGGTGACCGAACACCTGCAAGCAATTTTCTGACTCCCCGTTTAGAGATTTTGTATAGTGAATAGCATTAAATTACAATTTTTAAAATAAAATTCAAAATACTATTTGATAATTCTATTTTAAAGTTTTTTTTTCAATTTTTGAATATCATTTGCCTTTTTTTTTTGTCTGAGTTTTCACTTACATATAAATTTCATGTATATGGTAGTTTGTATGTTAGTGCAGGGGTGATTTTCTGCAATGAATTGAGATAGTGATGCGCAGAACGATCCTGAATCATAAACATGAAATGAAGTATTAGAAAAAGGGGGGCCGGGTGTGTGCCCAGCTAATCCATTATGAAGCTCAAGTGAGTCGGCATTGGAGTCAAGAGCACTATGTGTATTCTATTTTTAGATTGCGTACCTTGGTCCAGTTTCTTGATGGGTATTTATACATGAGTTTGCAATGATGGAAATGCCCTTGACACCCATCCTAGAATTGAATGGCCTACACTCATATCCTAGCATCATGATGGCATCCCATCAAATATTCTCATGATTAAGTCTTCTTGGACGAGTGAACCTTTGCTCGGGAATCGCCAAGCATTCATAGCACATCCCTGAATCATTAAATACGTCTTTTTGGTGCTTGACACCAATGCCCGAGTTTTAATTACTCAAGGAATAAGCACCCTTAGGGTTCGCCGAAGCTTTCAAGTCAGCTTAATGGTAATTAATATCTTGTAATGATGACTATCTTCACATTTTTCAAGAACCTGGACGCTTATTAATGACTCTGCCACAACCACTCAAGAGTCATTAATGAGTTGTCAGATTCCTTTTAATGCAAGGCTCTGAGGGGCATACTCGGTCCTTCTTGACATAACTTCTCAGCACCTTTCCCAAGCGCCCTTTGGACTCCTTAACAGTTGTAATTGCCCACGTGTCCCTTTAATACCGTCAAGCCACCTCAAGTGCTGTCAATTTCCCCTTCAGCCTCCATTTTCCTCGCATCATGGGACAGGTGGTGCATGGAGAGTGGATTCTTCATCAACATGCATGGATTTTAGGGGTGGTTAACCGCACATCTCTCGTCTAATTTTTCAAATTTATGATTGATGGGTCGCCTCCTCAATTCCTGCCCATGTAGTAGTCAGTATAAATAGGGGAGTTTGTGGCCCATTTGAGACTCCTTGGATCTTCGACCTCCCAAATTGTAATTATCTCCTGAGCAGCTCTTCACTCTTCTCCCGAGCAGATCCTTCGAAGCTACTGAACTGTAAGTATTCCCTTGCCTACATTCTTTTCTTCCTCTCTTCTTTTTCTTTATAAAAATCCCCAATGGCCAATATATGAAGAACTAGGGTGCTAAGGGAGTCGATTAGGCCTAGTGATACAGGCAAGTTGAGGAGAACCCAGGTGATTGATACCAATATAGAGGCTTTTCGAGCCACCTACAACATTTTCAAGCACGTCTTCACCTTTCTTTTTGACCCCAAGTTTCACAGGGAAGACGTAATGTGGAACTTATGCCCTTCCACGCCAAGGCCATCATAGAGGGAGGGGTTAGGTTTCCTCTTCCTCCCCTTCTACTAAGAGTCCTCATGTGCCTGAGGCTTTTCCTTCTCCAATGTTGAATTAACCTATTTAGGATAGTTATGGGAGTTATTGCCCTGAATGCTCGGTTGGGAGTGAATCTCAGGGTGGATGAGATACTATTTTGCTACGGCTTGAAGTTGGTTAGCGGTGGCAAGTACTGCTTAAATGCACGAGACCCCTCCATGTAGTTGGTGACATAGATGCCTGACTCGGACTAAGGGTACACCTGAGATCTCATCATGCTCGGTGAAAGATGGGAGATGTATCAATAATCCAAGTATGATGGCCTCTACTACCACAAAGTACTAAGGGTTCCAGGTGCGCACTTTACTGAGCTCATCACCACTTGGCCGTTATTCTTGCTTCTGATTTTGTGTTTTTCCTTGCAGATGGATACAAGAGGCACATTGCCTAGACCTTGAAAGCTTTTGTTACCTTCGAAGATCTTCTAAAGGTCTGGTCCCATAATCCCGGTAACCCCTTTGCTTGGGCAACACTCGTTTCCTCAGATATTGCTCTGGCTACACCTGATTCTCCCAACTCTCTCCACCTTTCAATCTTTCGATTTTGGTGGATCGTTCTTCGAAAGAAGAGGAAGAGGAGGCAAACCTTGAAGAAGATCCCGACCTCGACTTCAAGTCCACTCTATCAATACACTCTCCTTCTGTTGAGATGTTCCGCATTCCCCCCATCACTACTAAAAGTTTAGTGCCAACCAAGAGGACCCTAGCCTCTAAGACCTCACCCATCATTGCTCCTCTGGTCGCCCCTCCTTTACTGCAACAAGAGCCAAGGGCAACAGGAGTAACGACAATAGCAGCAACAATAGTAGTAGGAAATCCCCCGGAGGTTCAACATTAGCGACGAAGGCGCTAAGACAAACCCTCAGAATGAAATGACAATTGACAAAGGCTGCATCGTGGATGGGACGGCAACCCAATCATTGAGCACTGAGTTAAACAACGCCATGATGTCCCGGTGCCCCTGGTCCTATTGAATGGCCCCTCTGAGAAATCACAAGAAGGGGGCAGGCTGTTCTAAAATGTAACTCCATTCCATTCTCCCGACATGGCTCTGGCTATCAGTAGGACCCTACATTTGGATGCCGACATGGCGATTCTGGATGATTATAGAGACAATCACCTCCTCTAGGGAGTGGTCTAGCATAACTTGGTGGTAAGTAGTCCTAACTTTTCCTTTCCCCCGATATTTTCCTACAACGATTTTTTTCTTCACATTAATGTTTCCATTTCCAAGCTTGCCAACAAATGGGGGTCATCATTGACCATTTTTAGGCATATAGGAGCAAAGCCGATAAGACTTAAGTTGAGCTCGAACGGTCGTCGATTAGACAAGGAGCATCGCCAACCTGATTTGAAAAGTCGAGGCCTTAACCTCTGAGCTGGACAAAAGCAAAGAGGTCGAGGCCAAGGCCATGAGAAGAATGGAGGAGGCCGACCAAAAATTTACCGCTACGAAGGCCAAGTTGCTAGAAATAAAGGCCAACTGCGTGGCTCCACTAGATGTCCAGCCAACTGCCATGGCAGCGGCCCTGAAGGAACCAACAGAAGGGGTAGAGGAGACAAACAACAGTGATAGTGCTGATCACTGTTAGTGATGGTGATTTAGAGGGAATGTCTCCCATTTGGCTTCTTTCTCCCACACTTTCTATACATCCCAGAGATCCCTTCATCCCCGACACCTCCATTATCAATCAAGGTGGGGCTGAGTTTAGGGAACTTGATGAAATACTCGGCCTTGGAGGGGAAGGGTCTTTGACAAGGAACCAGTCGGGGTTCGATGGCAAGGTGCTCAGAGGTGACCTTGATGAACCGCTGGATCCGAGGACCCCTAGAAATTTCTTAGCACTTGTTTTTTTCTTCTTTTCCTTTGTATGCTGGAGGATGCACGACCACCCCTTTATTAATATATTTTCCTTTGTGGTATTTTTTTTCATCTTGTTAAATAGTGTTTTTGAACTACATTACGCACGAGATTAACTGATTACCGAGCTCCAAGGCTCAATATTATCGAGGCTCATGTTAAAATTGAGATTTGGTTCTTGAAGTCAACTTAGTGGTAATATTTCTTCAAATTTGATACATTCCATGGTCGATTTACATCTTTTCCATCCATATCCTATAATTGATACGCCCCTATGCCCCCTATGACAATGATATTTTACGGATCCTCCCAATTGGGGCCGAGCTTTCTGTCAATGGATTCTCGAGTATTGCCCACAACCTTGCATAACACCAAGTCACCCACCTGAAAACTCCTTGTTTGGACCTTCTTCTAATGCTACCTTGACAACTCTCCTTGATACTTGGCTAGTCGTATAGTCAACCATATCGAGATCCCTAGCTAGTGTTGGATCATTATTTCATAACTCGAAGGCTTGACTTCGTATAGTCGGGAGCCCTACCTCCAAGGGTATTATGGCTTTGGCCCTGTAGGTCATGGTATAGGGAGTCTCTCCCATTGAAGTCCTCGAGGTGGTTCTATACACCTATAGGACATTTAGCAGCTCCTTGGTCCATCTGCCCTTAGCCCTTTCCAACCTCATCTTTATCCCAGCCAAGACTGTCTTATTGGAGATTTTCTCGTGCTTGTTACATGGAGGGTATGCCAGGGTGGAGTAATATTTACGTATTCCAAATCCCGAGCAGAACTCCCTGAATGGCTCACTATTGAATTAGGTGTTGTTGTCAAAGACAATGGCTTGTGGGATGCCAAACCGAGTAATGATATTCTACCATACGAATTTCTTGGTTTCAACATCCCAAATATGGCCCAAGGGCTCAGTCTCAGTCCACTTCGTGAAGTAGTCCGTGGTGACTAAGAGGAATTTTTTTCCTAGAGGAGCCCTCGACAGAGGCCTCACTATATCCATGCTCCACTAAGAAAATAGCCAAGGACTAGTCAAAGAGTTTAGGTCTCTTGCCATTTGACAGATGATGGGGGCAAAATTTTGTCATTTATCACATTTCTAGGCATACCTCTTTGCATCTTTCTGGATATACGACCACCAATACCCTTGAGACATTACGCGGTGTGCAAGAGATCTTCCTCCCATGTGACTTTCATAAACTCCCTCTTGAACCTCGTACAACAATAGTTCAACTTTATCCTTGGGAACACAAAGTAAGTATGGTCCCAAGAAGGATCTCCAATATAGCTTATGATCGAGGGACATCCACAATTTGGGACCTTTTAGTTTGACCTTTATGGCTTCCTTGACATCCTCGGGGAGTTCCCTGTCCATCAAATATTTGATTATGGGGTCCTTCTAGCTTGGCGATATATCCTGGGTGCGCATTGGCAGCGTTTCCTCGACATTTAAGTCCCTTATGCTCGGACTTTCTAGGTAGTCAATGGTAATGGGCCGAGTTACCTCTAAAACCAAGGCTGAGGCAAGGTAGGCTAACACATTGGCATGACTATTGTGATCTCTCGAAATTTTGGACACCTTTATCTTTTTGAACTTTTTCATCCTCGATTTTGCTCTCTAGTAATAGGCTTTCATCCTGTCATCTGGGACCTCAAAGTCCCTATTAATTTGATTTACCACCAACTAGGAATGGTAGAAAATATGTAGGTGCCTTGCCTTGACCAAGTATACGATATCGAGTCCAGCCAGTAGTGCCTCGTAGTCGGCCTCATTTTTAGATGCTTTAAATCTAAGTCTGATAGCTTGATCCACTGTAAATCCTCTAGAATTGGCCAAGACTACACACACTCTTGCCCCCCTTGTGTTTGAGGATTTGTCCACATGCAAGCTCCAAACATCGTTGTGGTCAGAAGTTGCAAGTTTCCCATCCGAAGGAGACTCAGATGCACAAAACTCGACAATAAAATCAACAAATATTTGCCCTTTAATGGAAGTACAGGGGTTGTAGCTTATTTCAAACACTTTATCTCCATGGCCCACTTGGCAACTCGTCCAGACATATCTTCTTTGTGAAATATAGGCCTTAAGGGCTTGTCTGTCAAGACCTCAATGGGATGGGCCTAAAAATGGTGCCTAAGTTTCCTTGCTGAGACGACCAAGGCTTGTATAAGCTTTTCCATTGGCAGATATCTGGTCTTGGCATCAAGCAGGGTCTTTTGTACATAATACACTGGCCTCTGTACACCGTTGTGCTCCCTTACCAGAGCCCCACTGATCGCCCATTCTGAAATGAATAAGTAGAGGTTTAAAACTTTGCCTATTGCCGAAATGGACAAAGTAGGGGAGACCTCAAATACTCCTTGATTCCCTTTAGGTCTGTAAAGTCCACGCAAACGTGCCACTTTCCACCACCTTTCTTTTTCGCACAAACCATGTTGGATAGCCACTTGGGGAATTAGACTTCCCTAATTGATCCAGCGTCGAGCAACCGGTCCACCTCCTCATTAATAGCTTGTTCGTGGTGAGGTGTTGACCTTCGAGCCTTTTGCTTCACGGGTTTGAAAGTTGGATCGACATGAAGTTGATGACATATTACTTCAGCATTTATCCTCGTCATCTCCACAGGGGTCCACAAAAAGACGTCAGCATACCTACAAAGAAATTTTATCATATCAGATCTCTTGGTGCCTCCCAACGGTGCCCCTATCAAAAAAAATCTCTCCTCGTCCTTGGGATTTAGAAGGACCTTAACTAGAGCCTCCGTGGACCGATCGACTGGGTTTGTCATGGGATCATCAACACCTGGCCGACCGAACTGTGATTGTTATTTGGCTTACACTGCCTCGGGGTCATGCTCTTGGGACTTAGAGATAAACCCGGTCTTTACTGCTGCATAAAAATAACTTTTTGATGATGCTTGATGGTCGTAGATTTTTATTACTCCCCTCGGCATAGGAAATTTTATCTTTTAGTGGTAAGACGAATGCATCATCTTCATAGTATGTGACCATGTTCTACCTATTATGGCATTGTACGGGGATTCAGAGTCCATAACCACGAATTCAACTAGGACTATGACAATCCCAGTGGTGACCATGAGGATAACCTTTTCGAGGGGAAGGGCATACGAACCGTTGAATCCTACAAGAGGGGTTTTTATGGGCTTTAAGTGTTTTAGAGTGAAGCACATTTTATGAAAGAGGCTGTCATACATCACCTCAGATGAACTTCCCGAGTCGACCAGGATTCTCTTCACATCGTATTTCTCAATCTGGAGGGTGATCACCAAGGTATCTTCAAGTGGAAAGGTCAGTCCAACAAGATCGGCGTCAACATAATGAATGGCCTTGGCGTCAAGTCAAGGTCTTTTGGACGATTGGCCCCTAAACCTACTTTCCTTTACATTCACGGCTTGCGCAACCTTTTGGAGGTCTGCTTGAAGTGAATTATAAGTTATCCTATCCACCGTGTAGATGTGTATCACTTTAATTACAGTTGCCGCTTCTCGGGCTACGCTTGTTTCCTCTCTTGCGGAGCCCCTCATAGCCGCACATCAATGAATTCCTTGAGATGACCTTCTCGGGCTACGCTTGTTTCCTTTCTTATCGAGCCCCTCATAGCCGCACATCAATGAATTCCCTGAGATGACCTTCTCGGACTAGTTTCTCTAGGAACAATTTGTACACCCTGCAGTCTTCGGTCAGATGTTCGACATCCCGACGGTAAGAACATCGAGAAGTCGAATTTCTGGAGGATGGATCACCTTGCCTCTTGGGAGTCCACTTGAAGAAGGGCTCACTCTTTATCTTGTAAATCATTTTGTAAATGGGTTCTTTAAAGACCGTGCTCATCCCCTGAAGGGATAAGTTACTTGGAGTTGGCACGAGTGCCCCTCTCCGGACATGTGGCCTTATCTCACTCCTTTAAAGTGGGAAATTTAGGCTTGGGGACAACAAAATCTTCTTCCACCTCAGCATACTTGTTTATACGAGACATTAGGTCCTTCATATCCACTAGAGTTTGCTTAGTCAAAGATCGATACAGATCGGTGTCTCGAGACAACCCTAGCCAAAAAGTTTCTACCGCCATGATCTCAAAGCATGCCTCAAGTTCATTCACCTCATCCCAATATTTGATTGCGTATCATTGAAGGTTCTCTCCACTCTCCATTTGAGTGTTAGTAGAGTACCAATGTCTTTTGAATTTTTGCTACTGGTGATAAATTGAGCAACAAAGAGCTCGATCATCCATTTCCACGACTTTATATTTTCTAGGGCCAAGATCTTATACCATTTCATGGTAGTGTCCCCTAGGCTCATGGGGAACACTCGGCACAACAATCTTTGGTCGGTGTCATAGACGGACATCAGTTGCTTATACTACTGTAGATGGCCCTCGGGGTTTGTCCTTTCATCGTAAACCTTGGAACGGGGGACAGTGAACTTCTTCGACATCTCGATCTCCCTAATAGCTCAAATGAACGATTTTCTCATCCTCCATGTCCTCCTCTTTTGGGAGGGGTTTTCGGCGCTATGTATCCAAGCATAAATAGAGGTCTCTCTCAGGATCTCTTGTTTCTAGGTCCGATTGTAGTCGAGTTCGTGTGGGATTCTACCTCCTACACACCCCCTGAGAGTCTATAGTCGAGATCTCCACTTGATAAATCTCACCGGCGTTTTTTGCTTCCAACATATCTATCCTTGGGGGCACGCCCTTCATAACCCTAAGGCCCGCGCTTCTTACTTAGGCGTTCACACAAACTTCTCCTTGAGGCCTTCTGCCTTGTGCCCCAAGAATCACTCCAGTGGATACTCTTGTCTCCACATCTTCTACTTCGTTAGTTGGTCTCCTTTGACCGCTCGAAATCATTGAACTAGGGCTTCACGTTGGCATTGTGTTTCTCAAGCCGCTTCAAACGACCTCTAATTCGTTTCTCCATCAACTCGACAATTTTCTGAGCTACGACATTTTGTCCCTCAAGGCTCTGGTGCACTGGTAATGTCTGCTATGAGATGTGATGAGCTCCATCCAATTGGTTCAAGGAGCAGGATTTGGTGACTGCAGGGAGTCAGCTAGCTTTCGCATTTCTCACGTATAGGCTGCACCCCAACTCACCTTAAGATTGTGTGTTCACCATGATATTATCGCTA